CCAGACACCCCCAGCTCCAGCCTGGCAGTTTGTCAACACCCTCACCCAGACCCCCAACACCCCATGCCTGTCTTATGCCATGAGTCTGGGGCCCTGACCCCCACACCTCTTGAGTACCACCCAGGCCTGTCTCTGTGGGCAGCTCCCCCACCAGCTCCCTTCCACCCCGCATGGGCCCTATCCAGGGTTTCCCCACCCGGGCACACACTTTCCGGCATTCCTGACTCCCACTGTTCCTGGCTCATGGCCTGGCCACCTTGTCTCGCTCACTTGCCATAGCCCCTGCCTGGCCCAGCAGGACAGGCCCAGGTCAGGGCAAGGACAGGTCAGCACCAGGGCTGGTGCCCTGCCCCCAAGGACACAAGCCTCCTGCTCAGGACACTTTCTGGGGTCCTGTGCCTCCCCTTGTTCTCCCCCAGGTGCCAAGTCCCCACCTATCACATTGAGGTTAGGCATGGTGGCTCACACCTGTCATCCCAGCACTTTGGGAGGCTGAGGTGGGCAGATTACCTGGGCTCAGGAGTTCAGGACCAGCCTGGGCAATATGGTGAGACACTGTCTCTACTAAAAATCCAAAAAATAATTAGCCGGGCTTGGTAGTGCTCACCTGTAATCCCAGGTTCGGGGGAGGCTGAGGCAGGAGAATCACTTGGAAACCAGGAGGCCGAGGTCCAGTGAGCCGGGATCGCGCCACTGCACTCCAGCCTGGGCAACTGGTGGGACTAGACCTCCAAAAAAATAAAAATAAAAAAGTACTATCACATTGGGTATTAGGTTTGTTAAATAAAAACTATTGCTGTGGAGGATACACTGGAAAGCGAATGAAAAAAAAAGTATAGGAGACCATTGTTTTGCTCTTTTTTTTTTTTTTTTTGAGATAGAGTCTTGCTCTGTCCCCCAGGCTGGAGTGCAGCAGCGCAATCTTGGCACACTGCAGCCTCTGCCTCCCAGGTTCAAGCAATTCCTGTGCCTCAGCCTCCCCAGTAGCTGGGATTACAGGCATGCGCCACTAAGGCCATTGTTTTGGACTAGGCTCTAGCACTAGGCCCCAACAGACAAGACTAAAAGCCAAATTGGCGTCACCCATGCTAAAGTTTCACCCAACCTAAACTGAAGTGTTACCTGGTCTTCTGAGAAATCAGGAGAGAAATAACAGCCCATTTCCCAAACATGCCAGTTTTGATCTTCAATTGTCATGACAATGAGGTTCCCCACTGCTTTAATCCTTACACAAAAGAATTAGCCAGCTGGGCATGGTGGCTCACGCATGTAATACCAGCACTTTGGGAGCCCAAGGCAGGTGGATCACTAGAGACCAGGAGTTGGAGACCAGCCTGCCCAATATGGTGAAACCCTGTTTCTGTGAAAAATAAAAAAAAATTAGCCAGGCATGGTGGTGGGGTCCTGTAATCTCAGCTACTCAGGAGACAGAGGCAGGAGAACCGCTTGAACCAGAGAAGCAGTGGTTGCAGTGAACTGAGATAGTGCCGCTGCACTCCAGCGTGGGCAACAGGGTGAGACTCTAGCTCAAAAAAAAAAGGCCTTGTCCTGCGCGGTGGCTCACATCTGTCATCCCCGTACTTTGGGAGGCCGACTGTTGAGCCCAGGAGTTCCAGACCAGCCTGAGCTATATACAGTGAGACCCTGCCTCTATTAAAAATAAAAAATAACAATAATGAAAAAGTAAAACAAAATTAGCCTGAAGTAACTAATCAGTTACTTTTCTGTTGTTCTGTCTCCTTGATGCCCACCTTACAAGAAAAATAGTTTTGAAATGACCAGGAGGCTCTCTGTTCTTTGCTTCTGCTCTCTTCAGCTCTTCTCTGTCTATAAAAGCCAACTGCTGCTCAGCTCATCTGAAACTTACTCTGTTTTATGGAATGAAGTGTTGCCTGATCTTAGAATCGCAATAAAGCCAATTAAGAATTTTTTTTTTCAATTGAGATTTTGAACTAAATTAATTGCAATTTTGCCCTTTGATGGGTTCTAACATTTGAATTTTGGCTGGGTAGGGGACACCAGCATTTAGACCATAGCAATACTTAAGATCTACTGTCTTAGGAAATTTCAAGTATACAATACACTATTAACTATAGTCATGAGCAAGGAAAAAAAAAAAAGCCGTTTTATCTGAGAAATGCAAGCCCCTTTAAATTATGAGGCCCAGAGAAGCACTTAAAATATGATAGCTGTCACATCTCATTCCTAGTTGAACTAATTATCTCTTGAAACCACTTGCAATGTGGGCTCTAGATTAAGCAATGCCAAAGAGGCATGAAATGCCGTATACCCAGGCCGGGCATGGTGGCTCACACCTGTAATCCTGCACTTTGGGAGGCTGAGGTGGGCAGATCACAAGGTCAGGAGTTCGAGACCAGTTTGGCAATATGGTGAAACCCCATCTCTACTAAAAATACAAAAACTAAGCTGGGTGCGGTGGCTCACGCCTGTAATCCCAGCACTTTGGGAGGCTGAAGATCAGGAGTTCGGATCATGAGGTCAGGAGTTTGAGACCAGCCCGGCCAACATGGTAATACCCCATCTCTACTAAAAATACAAAAAAAAAAAAAAAAGGTCAGGCGCAGTGGCTCACGCCTGTAATCCCAGCACTTTGGGAGACTGAGGCGGGTGGATCATGAGGTCAGGAGTTTGAGAACAGCCTGGCCAATGTGGTGAAACCTGGTCTCTACTAAAAATACAAAAATTAGCCAGATGTAGTGGCCCTCGCCTGTAGCCCCAGCTACTTGGGAGGCTGAGGCAGTAGAACGGCTTGAACCCGAGAGGTGGAGGTTGCAGTGAGCCGAGATCACACCACTGCACTCCAGCCTGGGCGACAGAGCAAAACTCCATCTAAAAAACAAACAAACAAACAAACAAAAATTAGCAGGGTGTGGTGGCGTGCACCTGTAATCCCAGTCACTTGGGAGTCTGAGGCAGGAGAATAGCTTGAACCTGGAAGGCAGAGGTTGCAGTGAGCCAAGACCACACCAACACCGCACCACTGCACTCCAGCCTGGGCGACAGAGAAGGACTCCATCTTGAAGAAAAAAAGAAAAAAAAATTAGCCGGGCGTAGTAGTGCATGCCTGTAGTCCCAGCTACTTGGGAGGCTGAGGCATGAGAATTGCTTGAACCTGGGAGGCTGAAGTTGCAGTGAGCTGAGATCGCACCACTGCATTTCAGCCTGGGCGACAGAGTGAGATTCCCTCTCAAGAAAAGAAAGAAATGCCATACACCCTAGAGTTAAACAGTATATAGCCAATCACTAAATGATGTTATATCTGTAAACTAATGATCATTCCTGACAAACAACTTTTTTTTTTTTTTTTTAGATGGAGTCTCCCCTCGGTTCCCCAGGCTGGAGTGCAGTGGCACGATCTCAGGTCACTGCAACCTCTGCCTCCTGGATTCATGCCATTCTCCTGCCTCAGCCTCCCGAGTAGCTGGGACTACAGGTGCCCGCCACCATGCCTGG